CGGCCTCAAAAAGCAAAAGAATGGACGATCTGGGAATCGAACCCAGGACCTACCGCATGCTAAGCGGTCATTATACCACTAAACCAATCGCCCATGGTATGATCTAGCCCGGACTTGAACCGGAGACCTTCAGTGTGGCAGACGAGAGACGTTGCAGCTCTCGAACTGTTAGACTGACGTGATAACCAACTACACCACCAGACCAGTTGCTGTTGAAGACCCCCGGGGACCAGAACGAATATGGACGAGACGGAACGCGAATCGACTTTGCGTTGTGGTGAACGGGGCGCGCGAGAAGCGAGGGTTTGGTTCGAGTGCAAAATCTGCTGGTTGCGGGTGAGGGTTTTGGATACCGCCAATCAGAGATTTGCGCTAGGGGGATTTTGAAATTGCAGTCTCCGCGCTGTCGGACGCCGTGGCGGGACTAGTGGGGCCGTGGCACCTTACCGGCAGAGGACCCGCCAACGCCCCGCGAGTCTCCCGCAAGTCTCCCGCAAGTCTCCCGCATGTGTTCCGCATGTGTTCCGCATAGTTGGCTTAGTACCGAAAGGCCATGAACTCGTTGTTGAGAACATAGTGAAGATCTATGGCCTCTTCCGGGTTCACGTTCTCTTACCGTCTACCGCCCTTGGAGTGAACAAAGCATAGGATCGGTCACTTAACTAGTGCTTACCGTTCGCGCTGGCTGGGGTACGTAACGGACCTTACCTTACGGAGAGTTCCGCACATATCCGTAACGTCATATAACGTTGGCACTCTATTGCTAACCTCCCAGCCGTGCCTCTGATTCGTCATGCTTTGATCAAGACCAAGATTTCCCGTGGTTTACTTACCTTATATCAAAGTCTGGCCCGATGAGACCTTAGTCCTTGATACCCACATAGCTCATCCTTCTACAACAACAAGAACAAATTAATCAAAGTGTCCTTTGCAGAGAAATATATGGCTCCAGATACCATGGCACCAACCACAGTCCTCATCACCGGCGCAAACAGAGGCCTAGGAAAAGGCCTCCTCCAGCGGTACCTCGCACTTCCGGACCACATCGTGATCGCAGCCAACCGCGACCCAACCCAACCAACATCGCAGGCCCTCAGTGACCTACCCAAAGCTGAAGGAAGCAAGCTCATCGTGGTCAAGAACGATGCTTCCGTCGAGAAGGATGCTTACGACGCCGTAAAGGAGCTACAGGAAACCTACGGCATCACCTACCTCGACATCGTTATCGCTAACGCTGGCATCTCGTACGCCTGGCCGACAGTGGCCGAGCTAAAGATTGCCGATCTCCAGGCGCACATGGAACCCAACGTCTACGGCGTCGTCGCGCTGTATCAAGCTACGCGCCCACTGCTGCGGAAGTCATCCAAGGAACCCATGTTTGTGCCGATGGGTTCGACGGCTGGGTGTATAGAGTGAGTTATATGCATCTTTCGCATAAAACAATTGAGGTAAGGGGTTCAACGCCAGGTCAGCTAATGCCGTTCAAAAGGAACCAACCTACCATCCCCAACGCTGTCTACGGCCCGTCCAAGGCCGCGGTGAACTGGCTCACGATCAGGATGAACGCCGAAGAGGACTGGCTCAACGCTTGGGTCCTGATTCCCGGCTGGGTCCAGACCGATCTCGGCAACGCTGGTGCTCGGGGCCTGGGGCTGGAGAAGGCGCACATTGGCGTTGATGAGTCGTGCGATGGTATGATGCGGGTTCTTGCGGCGGCGAGCAAAGAGAAGTATGGTGGCAAGATGGTGGCGTATGATGGCGACTTCCCGGGGTGGTAGGTAGTCAGTTTAGGTCTGTTTATCTGTGCATGCTCCCGTTCAAACTGGTGGCTTTGGGTTGAATATTTAGCATTCATTTACCTGGTGTAACGTGAGGTTGTCTGGAATCACGACTGATTATGTATGTTAGACAACGTCAGGGGCTGCACAGGGAGGGAGTCGCATCCAGATGTCGTGATCATCCCTCCCTTGCCTGGGACGCAACCGCAGCATCTTTCATGCCATTACCTCTCGGCTGCCAGTACATTCCTCGGCCCGTGACTGCCACGCAACGTCGACCCTAAATTCCTCATTCGGCCCGTACTGGAATTGTGTGTAACGGCGAAAACCTCGAAAGCCCCCTTGGACCCTAAGCCAGACGCCCGAGACGACGAAATGCTTAGCCTCTACCTATCCTTCAGCCGCACGATCCTAAAGGCGCACTGTCTCAACCTCGATGTCGTACGGCATATCTGAGCGAAAACGAGATATCTCATCGCCCTGGGACTCGGTATTGAAGTGCCGTGAGAGCTCCTCTTCACACATCAACCTCATTTCCTTCCCACATGTGCCAAGACGAGCGTTGGAATTTTCGCGTTCGTGATCAAGCCAACTAACTTTTGGGCCCCGTAGATAACCCGAGCCGATTTACTCGGATTATCACAGTGTTCATTTAGCAGAGAAATTCATGGCTTCTAAGGACTGTCTCGGGCCGGGCACGCGTTTACTGTGCACTAGGAGCCTACCTCATAGGAGGAATGGTGGGTAATGGCTCAACGGCATGATGGCGTCCACTGAAGTGTTCAGCCTCTTGACTCTGTCGCCCGTTGGGAATTCCAAGCAGAAGTATGACCCTTTGCTGGACCAAATAACTGGGACATCGCAGATCCTTCTAAGCTTTCTTGATCCTATTTCTTGGCCCACATCTCTCTCTCTTTCCCCCTTGTTCATCAGTCCTCACCAGTCAAGTTGGACATCCACTCTTTCGTTCTGCTAGAAGCTTTCTTTGGCCGACTACTCTCTTTCTCTCTCTTGGCTTACGGAAAGTCCAACGTCGAAATAATGGTCTGGACCAAACACGCGGCCGTACTCGCGGCCTTGGCTCTCGGCGCCAATGCTCAGGCGCCGACTAATACCGCTATCCCTCCGAACATTGGTTTCGTTTTGAGTGTGCAGCCTCCTGCCGCCGTGTCGAACACCACCAGCTTGCCGACCTCCTCGGTCACCGGGATCTCGTCCACGCCGACGTCGTCTCTCAGCGTCACTCTCAGCTCCAGCAGCAGCAGCATCCTTTCGCAGCCGACCACTGCTAGCTCGAGCAGCGGATCCTTGTCGGTGCTCCCGTCTGGGTCTTCCAGCGGAGCCAGCACTCCCGGCGCTTCGTCGTCTTTTTCGACCTTTGGCACGAGCTCCTTGAACCCACCGCAGCCGAGCTCCACGCTCACAAGCTCCGCTCCGACTGTCGTCACGCCGGGTAGTTCCACCACTTCCCCTATCCTTTCGAGCAGCAGCACTTTCAACTTCGGGAACAGTAGCACTGTCAGAACGACATCCTCCTCTACTAGCAGTGTCTTGAGCACACCTACCACTTCCTTGTCGACCAGCAGCGTTGGCAGCAGCAGTAGTAGTGGCAGCAGCAGTAGCAGTGGCAGCAGCAGCGTTCCTAGCTCCAGCAGTACCAGCACCACAAGCTCTGCTCCGACAAGCACTACTACCGGCAGTAGCAGCACTGATAGCTCGAGCATCACCAGCACCACTACCGGCAGTACCAGCACTGATAGCTCGAGCATCACCAGCACCACTTCCAGCAGCAGTTCATTGGACACATCCTCAGCTTCCTCTACCGATAGTTCCACTTCGACTTCCTCGACTTCCTCGACTTCCAGCGATTCCTCAAGCTCGAGTAGCTCCTCCAGCTCCAGCAGTTCTTCAAGTTCGAGCACCTCCATGACCATCACTTCGAGCAGCTCTAGCAGCTCCAGCAGCTCCACCAGCATTAGTACTAGCATTAGCGTGAGTACTGCCTAGCCTACCCCATATTGAGTCGTCTTCAGTCTACCTCCTACTCGACGCTCTCTTTTTACATCTCGGCTCCGTCTGGTCCTTATGCTATCAATAACGCTGCTTTCGTCTTCCAAGCTTCTGGTACCGAGGAGGCTGCGGTAGACGGCAAGTCTGCCGCGCTATCGCCGGCCTTTGGATCAGGCTATAAGATCCGCTTCGATTCCACCAGACAACTCGCGCAACAATTCAGAATCCAGCCCGACTGCGCACTCACCACCGCTGACGGTACTTTCTTGGCCATGGTTGGCGGCGCCGCGAATCTAAATTTTCAGTATTTCTTTCAGTCCAACGCCATCGCTTCTTCTGTGGTCTCTACCAATCCCATTTTTGAAGCCGATGCATGCCAGAGGAATGCCGACAACACACCTACATGCACTGCCATGGGTCAAAGCATTTTCCAAGTCACGCCAGGTGACCCTTCTCTCCAACTGGGCGACCAGAATTTCGGGGAGCAGATCACGGTCAACCTGATTCCTGTGCCGGGAACCATCTTCCGTTGGAGTGGACGAGTAAGGGGGCCGAAATTTGGGGGACATCATTAATAAGTAGCTTTTAAGACAAATCTAATTGTTGCATCTCATTATGAGGTGCTTTCTTTTCCGCATACCCCGTCTTTGTCTCTCCCAAGTCCCATATGCCATCACATATCCAATGCCCATCTTCTCTCGACCACAAAAAGTCTGGTATCCTGTCGAATCTAGCGTCGTACCGGTCCGATACTCCCATCCAGAACCAAAAGTCATCCCACTTCATCGACATGGGCCGCTGCGTCTCCGGTCCGGAGTGGTATGCCGTTGGCGCGTCCTTGATTCCTTGCTCATCGAAGCAGTCCGCCACCTTGAACCACAAGCTCTCATCTTTGAGTTGATGAACGGCAATGGCCTCGTCACCAACCAGCGCGTGCTGGATGGCATCCGGATGCGTCTTCTTCCTAGCCCACGCCGTACCGTCGTGCCGCGCGTCTTTGTCGTCGTAATCGAACTTTTCTGAGCCTCTGAAGTTTACAAAGTTGGCCTTCTCGTGCCCCTTGAGCATGAGAGTCGCTATGGCCATGTCTTCGCCCGTCACCACGTGGTGCTTGTTCTGAAGGTCCGCTAGCAACTCGACCATATCCCACGTGACGGTATACATGGCACCGTGCGGGAAGACGAGGTCCCAATACTTTGAGTAGTAGAGCTCTCCGATAACAGTCTTCTGGACCGTACTCTTTATGAGCCCAGTGGCGCTGTCGGTCGAAAGTCTCGGTGATAGGAAACGGTCCCAGAACCCTCGTGCATTGAGCCACAAGTCGGTGTCCATCTTCGAGACAAATTCGTACTGGACATTGTGGTCGGCGAGCCACTTGTAGAACTCGAGTGTCTTGATAGTGTTGGCGGTGATGTCGTCCTCGGCAATGGTATCCAGCACAATCATGTCTCCAAAGGTGCGGTTCTCGTTGGCCACCACCTCCATCCACTGCGGCCCAGGATTCGATACCACGAAGCGTCCGTCAAAGGGGACATCGCTAAAAGTCTTCATCCACGTGGATCGTATGAGCATCCGACGTTCAACGTCTGATGCTGTAGAAATGACCGCCGCCAGCCAGGGTCTCGGTAGCACACTGTCATCGGTTCTGTTTGTGTCTGTTTGCTGAGGAGAATACGGAAAAGGTTGGAGGTCGTATAATGGCTCTGGAAGCCCGTCCACCGGGTTGCCATGAACGATAGGCTTCGTGATCGGGGCCTTGAACGGCTCGTGGTGAGGTGGTCGTTGGGTATCATGAGTAAGGTGAAAAGTAACGCCGAGAAATAAGATGGAACAGATTGTAAAAACACGGAAGAACCTCCTCTGGATACATCGACTCAACGACGTCCATATCGCCATCGCCATGGACGAGCATGAGGCTATGGAAGCCATGATTTTTTTCACACACACTCTCTCTCAACTATCACTCTCATTCAGTTGCGCGAACGCAAACGGTCTGCAAGAAGCAATAGCAAGTAAGGAAGAAATCTGGGATGAATAGAGCTGTCAAAAGAAAGAGAGAAATGAGTTTGGAAGTTGAGACGAGCTGGGGTGGACGGGAAGTAACCCCAAACCCCCCTGATACACGACATTGCAGACAAGATTTTGTGAACCCTCTCTGCAACTATATCGGGCGAAAAGTCACTCGGGAACGGTTACGGCTGCCTGCTCAGCGCTGGGGCAGCCACCCACCGCCATGCTGGGGTGATGCGGTCACATTCCGGAGAAACAAGCCCACAGGAAGGCAGGCAGTGATGTTTTGGTTGGCTCGTGGGGATCCCTTCATCAGATGGTAATCGTGGTAGTGGAGGGTATGCGCAGGCCAGCATGCGCTGCGGGCTTCTGTTTGAACTGGGCGCGCCGCGGGCATCCGATTCTGATACGTGATCGGCATTTCCGCCAAGAACTTTTTTTTCTCTTTCTCTTTCCCTTGACTTTCCTCTACGAGTCTGTGTTATTCCGCAATGCCATGGCTCTTCACCCCGGGTTTTCCAAGGGTGGTTGATGGAGACAACACTTTTTCGCGCCTATATGCAGATCCTCAATCATCCTTGTTCCTTCATTCGGTAATATGAAGCCACGCGACACGTTACCTCTCAGTCGTTGGGCGTTCCTTCGCGCCATGCACTGCCCGTTTCCGCAGCGGAGGCGTTGCCTTGGCGGAGCGTCCAATCAGCCTCATCAATACCGAAGTCCCTCACTTTGGGTTCCGGAGGGACGAACTTGCGAAACATCTATCAACTGCCAAAAATCATAATCTTGCCAATGCACTGACGAAGCCTGAAAGCAGACTTTTCGTTATCGGCTTCGAAAGATTCTGCCAGATGCAATTTAGTTTGCGTATAATAGCACACCGTTGGTTTCTATATTACTGATTGGTAGTTGTAGATGGAGCATTTCAAGCGGGTGATTATTCTATCGCCCGAGTGGGTACAGGCTCTACTAGAAAACTGTAAACGTGCGCGCGCAGGGCGCAAATTGGTCAAAAGAACTTTTGCAGATGGTGGTGTTCGAGTTAACGACACGAGCGGACCATTTACTACCCAGTGCTGACGATGTACGTCAGGGGCGACCCCAAAGTCCCGAGTTGGAAGACCCTTGTAGATAGATGCCACGGAATTTTCCTGTATAAATGGGATCCTCGAGGCTGAGAGCACAGAAGAAATGATGCTGTGACACATGGCTAGCCCACAAGTAGGATCACCTTGCCTGTCGCCCGGCTGTGCTGTGCACAGTGGGCATGTGTTTGGAAAAGACAAGTCAAATTACTCAACGAGAACGCAAAAAGGTGAACCCACAGATAATATGTAATATCAACACGCGAAGCGAGAACTTACCAAATCACGGTTCTCCATATGCGGAGTCTCTAATGATGCCAGCCCCTATCTTGCTACCTAGTCTTTTAAGCTCGCTTACAGAGCCAAGCTCAGCCAAGCTACGGATACAACAACCAACATATCAAGCTCCATTCTCACCCGCTTCCTACAGAGAAATAAGAAACAACCGGCTACAGCAGACATGTGGCATCCAATTAAATTTCGCAGAGAAGTTCAATAATGCAGCCTACGGCACGTCGCGTGATGCCCGATGCTGAGCCGCCGCCCGAGGTTACATTATGACTGCAAAACGGAACCGGGCAAGGCTCTCAGCGGTTGGCTTATTCAGACTATTAAAATGCCTAGGCGGCCAATGGAAGAGAATGCCTTTGAATGGCTAAGATCTACGATTTCATCGGCACTGGAGGCCTTTTGAGTTTGCTCCATGCCAGCCCCTTATTTACGGCATGGCGCAGATAGCGAGCACTACGTGGAAGCAATTGCTTTATCCAATGATTCAACTGACATGCAGACAAGGCTTAAACAGCGGGGGAAGGATTCAGTCATTGCATACCATAAGATTCTTTAAATGCCGTTGGCGTACTAGCAGGGCTGTGAATTCAGGCAGCAGAATTACTCTTGTCCTGGTAGGACCAACCTGAACGTGAGAGGGGTGCAAATGGGTACTTAGTGGCAGGAAAGATGGAACTCAATTGTAAAATGGTACCGAGATTCGTCGCAGACCGATTTTCTTTTCGAATTGGGTAGAAACTTCATTTAAGTGCGGAGTTAGACTAGATTTTGCAATTAATCTTAGTCTAATTCCTGAATAGTACATGTACTGATGCCTGCCATCAGGCGAACTGACTTCGTTCCGTATCTGATCCACTCACCGTTACTGATGACTTATCCGGAGTTAACGATACGAGTTCTCTGAGCGAAGTCTATTTCTGTCTATAGAAATGAATTGGTTTGTAACGAGAATTGCAGATTCAAACTCATTATTTAGCTGCTTCACTTTTTACGACTCTTTACTTCTTATTTCCATCTTTATTTTCTCCTTTTCTTCCGGCAACTTACTTCGGAGTATTGGTCACATTCAACGAGAACCTCTCACTCATTTCTAGTTCATGGCGGGTTTTCCAAATCGGAGGTCGGATCGCTCATCCAATGCCTTGCGGGCTCATCACACACCAGCCTCGCAATAGCTTCCCCCATGAGTGAAGTTGTAGTCTGATATGAGAAAGAGCCAGAGCTTCTTGTGTGCCCGTGTGTCCCGAGGGAATGGCATTGACAATGTGAATGAACCAAGCGGTCCGTTCTCACATGCGTCCCATCTTCTAGCATGGCATTGTCAGCATTGGGCATTAACGTAGAGCTAAACGAACCAAGATGTCGCTTACTACCAGGGAAATCAATTGAGCGATTTCAAATTCTGTGATAGTAGGCGAGATATGACTTTGATATGGAAAGCCGGCCCTTACATGTCGGCCTAAATCGCCATTTCACCTCACGTTCTCATATTGCTCAACATCACGACTGTGAAAGTTGAATGATTGAAGGTAATTTCATCGCGACATGAAAATGGAGACGGGATCATCAATTGATACTTCATATATCACTTCACATATCACGAAAAGTCGTGAAGATGAATGAGACTGCCGAGTGAGAGCGGCTGAAATAAAGTTGCGAGACCCATCTAGTTCGTTAGTGCGCGACCGGTGCGCCGTTGCAGTTGGCGCCGCGGAGCAGGGGTTCCGGGCGGGGGAAAGCACGCCAGAGCGTAGCGGCATGACATCACCAAAAAAGACGTCCGCGGCTTTTCCCTCCCTGCGGAAACCGAAGCCGGCGGGGGGCGGCAACAATGGCACAATTCTTCAACGCGTTTGTCTTCGCATCAATCGTCAAAGAAGAAATACTCAACCAAACAATCGTCCACAGCAAACTTGCTTGAGCTTGGCTCCTGCTGCTTGCCCCAATATCCACCGTTTCATTCGGTGTTCACCCACGGTATCGCAATTCGTCTCAAGGACGCGCAACGTCTTACCCGTCACCCGCAATGGCGGGCTCCCTTGCAAGCAAATTCCTGGCCGCGGTGGCTGTCTGCGGCACCGTTGTTGCCGCTGCTCCGACGAGCCAAGATCAATTCGTTCTCAGGCCTGCTGCGGATCTGACTCGCGTTCACGAAGAGTACGTGTCTCTCTCCGACTCCGTGCCCTACCCATGTGTGCCTTTGACAGCTCGCTGACTTGCAGGCAATAGGCTGGACAAAGCCAAGGTCATCCCTACCGTCCTGGACGACTTCGAGCCCATCATCGGCGTCGCGGCCGAGTGGTCCTCCTCCAATGTGGCCGATCTCGGGAACACCCTGAAGCCTGCCGATCTCCAGTCTGCGCCTACCGTTGCCATTGTTAGCGGCTCGTCAATGACCAGCGTCATAGCCACGACGTATGTCTTGACTCTCACCGACCCGGACGCGCCTACTCGCAGCAACCCCATCTGGTCCGAGTTCTGCCACTGGATTGCCGTCAGCAGCTCTCCGACCATCTCCTCTGGTATCGAGCCGGCGGATCTGGACGAGGTTATCGAGTACAAGCCGCCGGGACCTCCGCCCAAGACTGGCAAGCATCGCTACGTCTTCACCGCCTGGGTGCCTGCCAACGGAACCAAGGAGAAGCTGGAACTTTCGAAGCCGGCGGAGCGCAAGCATTGGGGAGGCCAGGAGGGACGTGGAGTACAGAAGTGGGCTAAAGAGAATGGCCTCGTTGCTGTCGGTGAGTTGATGCCGAAACACATACTTCAAGTGAAAAAAGGAAGACTAATTGCGACCCAGGTGCCAACTTCATTTATGCCCAGAACGAAAAGCAGTGATGCACACGAGTGACGCAATGTTTCGATGTCAGCCCGACGTGGCCCTAATGCCGATTGCACCTAACCGCAAAAGTCAGAATGGGTTCGTGATCGCCACTATGAGGAACTTCGTTATGCGAGAATATAGCTATTAATACAGATTGAATCATGACTACTTTGGAAACTAAACAGTTCCGCAAACAAGCCTCAATCTGAATCAACGCAGTAACAGTAACCAATGGAAAACAAATGGTATACACGCGGGCGCACTGTCGACTCACATCGCGCCACGCCAGAAACCCATCGTACAAATGGAATGTTCACAGGCACCCCGAACTCCTCTCACGACATATAAATCTATCGACCAACGCAACAACTGAAGCCACGAGCTCACGTTCGCGAAGTAACGATGATCTGCGCTGATGTCAGTTGCAAATCTAGGAGGAACATGGCAAATCCTGATTCTCACCTTGTACAAGTCGCTCGAACGTGCTTTTCGTTGGCACAGCTATCGATCGCCCAGGAAACCAACATCTCGGTATATGGTGCCGAATGCTTCTCTCTGTTCTCTCTGAAGAATCTCAAGACTCGCGTCGATCATCATGGCCACGCTTGGATGACACCAGACCATGCCCATGCCGACAGGCCAGAAAAGAATGCCTTGAGGGAGCAGGCCGATTCGGCACATCTCGGTCTCCTCGGTGCGTCTATGGGATACGACGCTCTGAAGTGCGAGGCCCAGAGAAGCGACTGCGGCACATCCTCAGTCTTGACCTTGATATGGGGATCGAAGTACCCCCGGCGACAATGTTGCTCGAAGCCTGGGTAGCCTTGAAGGAAATCCTTGATCATCTTCTCCCTATGACCAATGTAGGTTTGCCCGAAGATCTGCACAAGGACCTGGCTTCCGGTGCCTGGATGGTATGGTTGTTCACCTGGGTAGGTCCATGGACTATTTGGACAAACAACATCTGTTAGATATCTGGTTCAATACGAAGGTATCGATCGAGCGGCGGCGAGGAGTTTCATACTTACTTTCGAGAGATGGCAGTAGATGCAAAAATATCGTTTCAATCGCCATTCAGGCATAGCAACACTGTTCACGGCTGCCTTGGAGTTCCCTGACGCCTTTTCCTCTGCCGTTCCAGCTTAAAGAAGGCCTCTGGCACTATCAATCGGTCTTGTCGACGGCAATACGACGTCTTTTCGCCCTCGGGCCAGAGTCCCCGCCTACATCTTCATCGACTTCGTCCGACCTCTTTCGAACGACAGGAGGAGGCGAGATACTTAGGGTGCGGCTTCTCAATCCCAACCCCGAGCTCCTGCTCGCATGGCTGCCGTTTTCGCCGACATCCTCAACATTGTCCTCGAAGATGGACTGCTCTGCCTGCTGCCCGGAACCCACAGGAAGGTCAGGAACTTGGCCGTCATCTTTCCCATTCTGTGAAGACGGCACATGCCCTTGCTTCTGTTTCTCGTGTTGGGTAGCGGGATCAGCAGGAGTACCAGTGACAGTGTTCGCCACCTTCTTCTTCTTTTCCTTCTGGCGCTCCCGCCTGGCTACCTCCCTCTTTCTCTGAGAATCGCCAGTGAAGGAACACACGTCTGACATGCGCATGCAGACTTGACAGGGGCCAGTTTCCTTCCGAATACATACGTATCCTTGCTTCTGGCATTTTTTGCATTTGGGATCCTGCACCGTCCCTTCTTTCGCGGTCGTGTCGGCACGTTTGTGCTCCTTCCATGTCTTCTCCGCAATCATCTTGCCGCTCGGCCCATGCTTCTCTACACAATAGCTGCAGGTGCAGCGTACCTTCTCGTTCTCCCTCTTCAGCTTCGACTTCTGGCTGACGACTGCGACCACCGCTGGTTGTGCGATAAGTTGGATAGCCGCAGGAGCGGGAGTCGCAGCTGAGACTAGACCCGCACGTTGTTTCGGCGCCGAGATCGAGGATTGTGCACCGTTTTGAGGCGTGCTCGAAGTCTGCGCACGTCTCTTGGTTGGGCCATCCGGGAGTAGCTTCCGCCCTCTGGCATTCAGTCTCGGTATCGGTGGGGGCGTAGGCGTTACCGAAGACTTAGGTACAGTTGACGGCCCAGGGGTTTCCGAGGGTCCAGGCGCCGACAACTCAGGACTCGGAGGTGCCTGCAATAATGAACCTTCTACCGGGACCGGGGCCGGAGACATGACCGGAACTATGACCGGATTGATTTTCCGCCCGGGCAACATCGGCGGCACATCGGTCGTCATGATATCGGATATTGGCCACTTTGGGTCCCAGTCCCGTTTAAAGGGTCTCGGCTTATTTTCCACCTGTTGTTGCTGCTGCTGGGCAGGGGCAGTGGCAGTGGCAGTGGCAATAAGAATCGGCGCCATCTCTCTTACTGTCGGCTACGTCTCACTATGATGTTCGATGTGGAATACTGTGGTGAGTGTGAGATCTGGCGGATAGATGAGTTAGTTGATTGGCAGCTGAATATGGGAAGGGGGGGGGGGGAGTACTCATGCACTAACTTTTCTCAGTGAGTTCCAGATGGGGATGGAGAAATGTACAGGTTTCTGTCTCTGTTCTGCCCTGTAATTAGAACACAAACCTCTTTCTTATATTCCAGGAGGTCTGCCTGGAGATAGTTAGGCCTTGTATCTCCTTCAAATCGTCACCTCAGATACCTCTCTATCTTTTCTCCGTTAGGTGTGTGTATGCGTGTGTGTGTGTGATATTGAACGTCGAAAGCGGTTCCCCACCTCTCTAGTCTTTCTCCGATACTCACGCTGGTAAAATAAAGATCGCAAGCTTTTCAGACAACTACTTCTCTATCCTTTCTCCGATATGCAATCGATTATTTTAGTTCATCCCCAGAGAGCCACAGAAAGCTCACCTCCGCTAGACTGGCGAGACCCTTTGGGGCGAGCATGCTCTAGGCTGAGGCATCAGTTGGTCGTCTCCGTGACATAGTATTGTGTGACACACAAGATCCCCAGCGAATAAGAACTGCTTCATGCTGAATCTCATTTCAAGCACACGAAGTGTTGTAACATGTTGGCTATGCAAGCTTTTACTGGTATTGTTGTATTGAATCTCTACGAGACGAAGTTTGAAATATTGCTCTAGGATCATGGCGACTTATGATCTCGCAAATCCTACTTACATGAACAATATACTCAGACACCATCTGTATATACTATCCCCCGACTGCCTTCCCAACCTAGGATGGGTCTAGGTCTAGGAATCAGGCGAGTCCTGGAATCTTCCTCTTCCGGAGGGAGAACTGCATGGTTCACTCGAAGACGACTTCCCTCTCTCGCCTGCTGTGGCGTCATTTGAGGACGGACTCCCACCAATGGTCCGAGAGCCATCGTCGCTAGAGCTACCTTCACGACCACTGGCAACAGGCAGCTCCTTAGCCTTGCCTCCAGAAGTAGGACCAACAGACGACCGTTGCGCAGCTGGGAAGCCCCTCTTGCTCGCTCTCGTACGCGTCTTCTTTCTCGGCGGTTCCACCACCTCCAAGACCTCCTCCGCCTCGTCCGTGTCCTTTTCCTCGACAGGACTCCCAGTCTTCTCCCTCTCCTCCCGGTTCAGTTTATTCTGATCTCTCTTCCTTCCCCTTCCCGGGACCGGATTCAAGGAGCACCGCTCCTTCAACTTCATACACCTCGAGCAGACTTTGCCTCCGCTATAGAAGCATTCATCTCCCTTGTTGTTAGAGAGACAACGTTCGCAGGGCTTGGGGGGCCTCATGCCTTTTTCCCTTTCCTTGTCAGAGCGAATATGCTCCTTCTTCGTCTTGGCGCACTGCTCGATGCCATCGGTGTTGCTTTCCACGCATTTGGAACATTTGCAGATTTCCCTTTCGCCACTGGTGGCCTTCGTTTGCGGCTTCTTGTCCCCGGGTGTGTCAGCGTTGTTCCGCGTCTTAGTCTTCGCAGCTGCTGTAGCTTTCGTCTGCGTCTTTTTTCTCGCGGCTGGGACGGCCTTTGATCTAGTCGCTGGTTCTACCGCCGGTGGCGAGGGCGGTTTTTGATTTTCTTTGTTGACCTCTTGTTCCTGTTGCTTTTTGGGCTTGCCCGTTGGCAACGGGTGCCGAGGTGCTGGGTGTGAACCATTGCTGCTGCCCACCTCTCGACTTTGTTGGATGGCGGGTTTATTGATAGCAGTGAAGCCACGAATGCGCATCGGGACGGGACTTGGAGTCTTCTCCCGAGAGGGAGCCCGACTACCAATAGTGGTTGCCGGCGTCCTGGAAGCCATCGTCTCAATAGGCGGATCTTGAATTGGCGAGGTTAAGCTGACAAGACCGACGCGGCGAGCCTCTCGCTCCTCGTTCTTTTTCACAACATACATCGCCGCTAGCCCCTCTATGGCGAAACTTCTGAGCCTTTCTTCCTCTCCCTCCGCGAACAAGGGCTTGAAGGCGATAGAAACAGCCATTCATCTGAGTTCGGACTGTTATAGTGTTAGTTGGGACTATATGAGTACTGGGCAAGCAGTCATAGTAGGAAAAATGGGATGAACTCTTACAATATGGTTTGGATGAGAAGCCGAATACGCAGAGTAGTCGATGACAAGGGTGAGTGAAACATTAGAGTGGAAGGAAACGCATTGCTCTGTCTTTTATTTAGACATGTGACACTTGTCACAGACATTACTTTATCAGTCAACGGAGATAGATTCAGAAAAGGTAGTGTGGGTGTGCGGTTGACGTATCTTTTAGTTCATCACTGGTTCGGTATGCAATGAGGGAGGTCAACGGAGACAGTTCTTAACGGAGAACGCTCTTAACCCAGCTCGCCCAGAAGCAATACTCTATGGGGTATTGATACAAGAAGAACCCTTTCAGACTCGTTCCAAGCCCCTGATTTACTCCCATGAACATGACTCTTTGTACCTGGTGCACTCTGAGCAAGCCTTATAATTCTCCACCCATTGATAGCATTTGCGCCTATCAATCCCTCGGCATCTTGTGCATTGGCCCCGTGGCTTTTCTAGCATGTTGTGCCCCTCAATCTTGTCGGCCGATAAATGTGCTCGAATGGTCTCTTTGGTTTTCGGCTTGCCTTGGCCATGGCATCTCAAACAAGGGCACTTCCGCTTTCTTCCCCCTGCCCTTCTGTCCGAATTGGGGTCCTTCGAAGGTGACTCGTCAATGATATCATCGTCCAAGATGCCATCGTTCAAGATACCATCGTTCAAGATACTGTAGCTTGAAGAGGCTGGAGTGAAAGTGTCGGACATTTCAACGTCGGTGGTCTCGCCGGGAGATGTCTCGTTGTCAGGAGTCTCAGCGCCGATGGCCTCACCAATTCGAACGGCCTTGCTTGAGCTCATTGGGCTTGATAAATTATCTTCTGCCTCGATATCACTGGAACGGAAGGCCTTAGACAAGACTGACCCCGGCGCAGTGTTTTTGGAAGTGTCATCAGTTGAAGCCTGACTTGGCGAAGCAGTATCGTCGATGGTGTCATTCACCGAAGTGGTCTGTTGTAGGTTGTCGGATGGGCCATCGGCTGCCGTAGCGCCCGTCGCCCCGTCTTGATTCGTCCCTGTCTTCTTCTCTTGCTCATCAAACAGGCCGTCTAGTTCTCCATCTAACAAGTTGGGAATTTCTGGATACGGTGGAGGCATTTGATAAGCAAGTCCCTCTTCCACGGAGAGGCCTTGGTCGCCCGCAGACATATCCTCGTCCGTCTTGATTTTCTAAACACCTTCGTCGGGAGGCTGGGCATCAAACGGATCGTTTAGATACGCGTCATCTGGGTGCAAATAATTCGCGTATGAGAACGGTTTACCGGAGCCGGACATTGTTGGAAGGTTGCGTGGAAACTTTGTGTTTGGTGAAGGATGAATTTGGTGATGATTCTTGTAGTTCTGGTGGTACTAGCGAACAATTCTGATTGATGCTGAGAATCCAGAAGATGATGTGGTCTGGTAGAAGTGCACCATCTCTGGCCACACACCAAAGAATACTGTTAGTCATCAAGTAGCGATGTCCTTTCCTGCTTCTCGAATTGTAATGATCTAGGAAAGTATTGCTGGGCTGACTCGGCATCCGCGACGAGGCACATGACTACGGCAGGAACTTAGTTACATGTAACAATGTTCGCCGGCAAGAGCAGCAGAGAAAACGGCAGTGGCTTTGTAGCTGCCCAAACAAGATCGAGCTCATATGGAAATGACACCCGGGCCTGTAGTTGAGGTGGCCAACGTCCTTGCTTCATTACCATGCTAAACATTTTACTCCCTTTCCCAGAGAAAGGCTCGATGCCCTTTTCTCTTGCCATTCAAAATGCGGAAACATCAATGAGCTGACCAACTGCACCCGAACCCAGCGACGGAAGCTTCACGCTACTCTTCACCCTAGCTGGCTGCTGCCTTTTGAACTCGTACCAAATAGGTGAGGCAGGGCGCAGATGGGCAGTCTTCACTGCTTCGGTACTGACTTGGGTAAAGCCAGCCCTTTGGTATACCTGAGAGTTCCGTCTGCTGATGGCTCGGCAAGCTACTTGATAGGTAGCCAAGAACTCTGAGGAACACATAATTACAAGTTACAACCTAGCTCTCAGGACAGGAAGCTTCTCGTAGGAAGTTCCACGACAGTCGAGACAGCCGTCGTTGGGCAACGACTCTCGCATAGCTGCATCCTGCCTGAAGCTTCCGTGAGACGCATCGTCCACAGGGTTGCTGGCCATCGCAGCGTTCTTTGGGTGCCTTGCAATGACCACATGCCTTGACGCACCGCTGCCGTTGGCTGAGTGGCACCTTTGCAGTTGGCATGTCTTATAGCAAAGAAAAGCTTCACGATCGCGTTCGGATCGGGTACACCGGCAGTTGAAGGGAGCAGTAGTTCAGAATGTACCACGTTTGGCGGATGATCATGCGGAAGGGCGGGGCTGGTAATGCTTAAGCGCAGCTGCGCATGGAGGAATAAATAGTCCGCCCAGAGAGATCTGATCGTAGTGCGGAGAGTACGGCAGAGTTATCGCTGACTGTCCGGATGCATGGAAGTATAGGATGGAGATCGGCCCGGAACAAGACCGAGAAGTTCCGTGGAAGAGACGCCAGACGTCGAGCTATCGTAGCGACATGAACATTCAGATTGATCAATTAGCGGCTCCAGCTTAACCATGATTGAAGTTCGGCCGAATGCAGGTATCGAGGATGGCGAAGCAGGCAAGCGTTAGATTACCTAACCCAGCCTTTACCAGCATTACTTACGGACAGATGGAGCAGAGATGTTCTTAGGGATGCTTCAGGTAATCTGAAAAAACGTGACCAGACACGATGTTAAGTCCGGACAATAGGTGCAGTGGTCAATCATGATTAAGTCCGCGATGTAGAAACTAAATAGCCAGCTATGATTAAGTCCGCCCGGCGTTATTGGAAAGACTCACAACCCCACATGCCGTGCGCCGCAGCAAGGAACACATCTTGCGATCCTAGCGCGCGCTGCATAAGCCCTCTCAACGCTCCATCGTCTCAAATCAGAGGTTTTACTTTACCAATCACTCCCGCGAATACAGAATAAGGTTTTACAATAGAATTGCATCTACCCAAAGTAGTCCAACGTACCCTCTTGTAAAGTAGACTCAGATGGCATAAGGGCATTGCTTTGCAGATCCTGAGAATATGGTCTTTGTCCTAGCCTGGTCGGTAGCACGGTTCAAAACCAGTACGGTAAAGATCTTTTTTGAATACTGCGTGCCCAACCAGAATAGTGTGCAAGGCCTTCTAAGGGGCCGGGGTTTACAGGAAGTCTATAAGTACGGAGAAGCAGCGCGCGGGAGGTGCGATACTAAGGCATTGTCCTGTATATTGAGATTGTCCTCGTTGGAAGGTGGCATTCGGCATTCCATTACTAGAAATGGCGAAGCACGTCTTGCGGAGCTGGAGCATTACGAAGGCCGAGGATGAGAAATACTAGTCATTGGACGGCCTCGTGCGTTACATTAGCTTCACGCTAAGCTGAAGACTTCAGGGGAGTAAGGAAGAGAAGACGAACTTATGATGATGAAAACTTGAATCTTGTTGTAGTAGACGCGGGCTACTAACGAGGATTTTTGCACTCCCACCAACCAGTACCTACTTTATGTTCCCCTATCTGGGAGGGAGAAAAGTATGTAGAGCGACTGGTACATTCTGGTGGGTCATACGTCTTTACGACACGGTGCAACTAGAATACTGCCCAGCGTCAATATACGGTACCGAACAGGGGACCATAATTCTCAGCTAGTTCAGCCTTCTGATTTTGTATTCAGGGTCATGTCGGCACCGCGGCGAGTTCAGATCCCGCTGACATGAACAAGATAATAGCGTGATGGCTAACGGACTAGTTGATTGAGTGAGGAAAGGGTCAAGGTGAACGTCAAGGCATACGGAATCTGCTGCTTCGCGATGCGTATAAAGGGTGCGGCTTGCCCTCGTCATTTCACATGCCCAGATCACCAGAGCAAAATCAACTGATCTACATTCTTTCAAACAGCAGAACAACATGGTTGGACTTCTCACATCTATCACACTCTTTGCAGTGCTTCTCGTCAATGGCACGGCTGCACACCCAGGCGATCATCATCCAGACATATCCCATCTAGAGCGAGAACGCGCCTTCCATAGGCGAACAGCTGAATCTGGGGCTGTAAAGATGAGCCGTTGTGCCGATACCCTGGGAACCGTCAGGAAAAGCGCCATTCAGCGACGCACTACAACCTAAGAGCGCCTACGACAAGAAAGGGGTTTCGCATCCCCAGCCGGGATTCAGGGTCGTAACAAAGAGGAGGTGGCCTACTACGACTCTCTCAACCACAATCAGACTTCCGTGGTCAAGAGCGGATCCTACAAAGAGTTATTTGGTTCCAATGCCTCTTGCGTACTGGGTCGGGCTGAGACGATCGGTCCCTACTACGTGGAAGGCGAGCTCCTTCGCAGCAACATCACCGAAGACCAGATCGGCATTCCGATGCACATGGAGCTACAGTTCGTGGACTTCAACACTTGCAAGCCAGTCCCCGCTTTGTTCATCGACATCTGGGGTGCCAATGCAACAGGCGGCTACTCTGGAGCGGAATCCCCCGCTGGCATCAGCGGATTCGGCGGTCTCAACTCCACCTTTTTGCGAGGCATTCAGATCACGGACGAGCACGGTGTGGCTAGTTTCGATCTGATTGTCCCCGGACACTACTACCCTCGCGCCACACATACACATATTGTAGCATGGGGAAACGCTACAACATTCGCCAATGTAAGTCCACTGACGATGTTTTGTCATGTTTCCTTCCTTTTCCGCTAAGCATCGCCCAGATGCCGCGGAAGTGATCGGCATTCTTAAGAAGCTAACAACTTGAAGGGTACAATTGCCGGTGGTCTCGCAACCGACGACACATTTATCCGTTACGTGGGACAGCTATACTACGAGCAGAAGCTTCGTGATGCCGTTGACCCCATCTGGCCTTATAACACCAACACCGATAAGGACAACTTCAAAAATGTGGACGATTATATCCTGGCTGAAAACAAGACTCTCAACGGCAATACGGTTGGTGACTTGGGGGCTTACGATCCTTTTGTCAAGTATGCCTACTTGACGAATGATCTAGCGGACGGTATCTTCACCTGGCACACCATCGGGGTCGACATGGGTGACAACTTCAACGGAGGCTTCCAAGCGGCCGCCAAATACGAAGAAGACGGTGGGAGGGCCCTCAATGCGTGGGGTGATGGGTCCATCAACCCTTACCCAGCTGTGGTGCCACCCAAGGGGATAGTCTCGACTACTGCGGCTAGTAGCAGAGCTACAGGACTGTGACAATCCATAACGCATTGATAGCAGCAAAGGGAGCCATGTAGCAGTATTTATACTACAGCTGGTGCTCACGAAGCATGCAATGATCGACTTTATCGTGGTGGTCAAGAAGCCATCGGATGGCGGTGCGAAGCTACATGTAGAGAATCTCTTACGCATACGTGTCATGTAAACTTATACTTATCTATTGAGGGGAGAGGCTGAGACTTACAGCCTCGGGGCCATTGAGAATGAATTCTATCTGTCTACTGTTCCTTTATCACAACCCAATATGCTTGACCGATCAGGCGTTTTCCTGTAACCTGTCTGTTTATATATCAAGTCTTGGAAAACTCATGATAGGTAGCTTGTATATAAACAACAATCGGGTCTTATTCTCTGTAGGGATCGTTGTCCTAGTGTTAAACGACCACAATATCAACTCATTATCAAGCATGGATAAAAACGCCCATTCTCCATGTTCCCACCCACTGCATCAAAGCCCTGATGTCCTCTCTTCGCCATTATCCAACAGTGAGCCATTAACTTCTGCGCCCTTAGCATTTCGTGAGGGGAATGCAACAACCGTATTTTCCAGCCGATCCGGCAGCGGATCTTCGCCGCCAGTGTCCTGAAGCTCGACGTACTCGGACAGTTGGACGTTGAAGGCAAGACGCAGGATCGTGGAGAACTTGCTGCTGTACGAAGAGCCTGCGACGACCACAGCCCAAGTGCCGATCGTGATGGACAAGATAGTGATTCCCACGGCGACCCCGTAGGCTATCCACAAGGGGGCGACTGAGTAAGTGTAGATATTTTCGTACGCCTCCGTATCGATGTTGGCTTGAATAGGCTCGTCAGGACTACCCAACGTTATCAGTTTATAGTTTTCAGGGACGATCTTCACGGTATAGTATATTTCTAAGGCCCGTGTTGCAAGCAACTTACTTTAGCTCCGCTTGTGATACGAGACTCAAGGTGATGTTGACAAACTTCTCCTCTAATAACGTAGGAATTCGGCGATTACCTTCTGACTGATTGTCTGACTGTTTTCCAAAGAAATATAAGTCTTTTGCCAGGTTTGTTATGCCCACCTGCGTCTGAATGAACCTCTGGGCGCCCGGACCGTTGCGGCTGATATAGGCGCTTCCAACCAGCATGGAAGAGAAGGCATCCATGACCGCTTGGAAGGGAACACCAACGCCGTCACTGAACGATCTTGTCGATGGGGGACCTACGCCCTGGAGCCAAGGTTCGCTGGTCTTATTCAGTCTTGTGATGGTCTCGATCTTCTGAACTCCGGATCGGTATATGAATTTGTTGTGGTATGAGGCGCTATACAGGGTGCACCTTGTGAACGAATCAAAAATAAACTGAGGCTTGTTCAATCCGTCGTCCTTGCTGTCGGCGATGTATAGGGAGATCGGGGCATCCCGAGGCCCAGAAATCGCGTTCCTGGTGGATCCATTCTTGTCCGGCCAAAATGGTGAAAGATCTGTAATTGATTCCGGCATCCAGGAAATGTACCGATAACAATAACCAGAAGAAGAACAAATTTCTCTTGCTGATTTGGTAACGTTGATGCGGAACTCGTCATCTAGACTTAACGCAGAGCACTGGAGGGCTGGCCCTTCGAAATCCAGGGACCAACTGGCGTTACCGTAGATAGAAGCCATCGGAATGATCGTGCCTGATATAAGTGAGCTGATTGCTGCTCTGCTAACTCCATCACTTGGCCCAGAATAGGTCGTGGTACGTGTGCCATCTGTGAGTCGTGCGAAAGCCCTACTGGTGAAGCTGATACTTGGGACCGGTCCAACTATCACGTTCCTTGCTACAGCTGCCTTGACGGTCAGCGTCGCCGGTGTGAGAAGGGTAGCGAACGGGAGCAGCCTAGGGTTCCAGTTAGGACAAGATTTCATGCAAAATCAGTTCCCTAGTCGATTTCCTACCAGAAGAGAAGAGATAAGAACATGGAAAGTGGGTAAAGCATCCAAAGCCTTGCATCTAAAATGTTCAGAGCATTAGACTTGGAGGCCAACAAGCCGTCAATTGAACGGAGCTTTGAAGGGCGGGCCTTCAGAACACTCCACGCGTGTTGTTCCTGCGCCGTCGATATGGCTATGCTAAGGAAAATCTTGGACATTGAAGCTAACAGCGTCCCTAGGGCGATGTTTAGTTGCTGGCTGGTGACACCGCCCAAGTCGTAGTAGGTCTCTGATGAGGGCGGCGTCCCGGCGAGGCTCCCGTAGAAGCAGTGATGACCGACTGCAAAGCTGACCCCGCCCATCATACTGAGGCACATTGTGAGCGGAGCCTTCCAAGCATATAGTTGTTGGGTTTTCGACGCCTCCTCCTTCTCCGAGGTTGACATCGCGACTGGACTGACTTGTGAAGGCAGCACGCTAGATCTTTGTCCGGCGGACCTTGAGTATGAACATGGAATGTCCAAATGCGGAGCGGGGAGGTGGCATTCAGGCCTTTTTATCTGTTCCAGTCGAGATGGGGCTGAGGCGGCGAAGATGTGCTGGGCTCCTACACATGCATGTAGGCAGTAAGCTTGTGCATGAGGCCCCTGAGCCAGGCCCAAAGCCGCAGTTAACCCATACAAGGCCTTGTCGGCTCCATCTGGAAGCCTTCCGTACCTAATGGCATTGAAGAAATAGGTGAGAAGTATGAGGTATGTCAGGTTGATCCCGTCAGCACCATATTGTTATGTTGTACCCGCAGTTCAAAGCTCTAATTCTGCTAGTTCGTGCTATCATTTAAGGACTTCCTGTCAAAGCAGGAACTGATCATGCCTTCCTGCCTAGAACCTACACGAAGTACCCTTCTGCAGCCTTGCTTATGGCTGCTTTAAATTAGAAGTTGGTCAGAGTATTCTGTACTGCGCCTCCACGGCACAGCATTGCACCAACGAAGTACAGTACATGTAGACCGGTTGGATAGGGTGGGTGTGGCACATTGTGCAGACAGGCTAGTCGAAGGAACAAGTAATGACATTGTTTTTCAAAGATGAAGGTGCCCCATTGAGAATAGGTGAGTCGTAAGAGGAGAAATAGAGGCGATGAAGAGCTAGGGCAGAAAAGAGAGGGTGGTGACGACGCGGTCTCGAGCAAGGGCAGATTTGCGGTCGTTTTTACAATAATGACAATGAAAAAACCGGTAGATTTTCGCCGCCACAAGGCTAATCAGCCAACCTACCGAAACGGTCAAGTGGCAGGGTATTCCGAGTTTCCCAATGGGCGTGGTCGTACGTGGTGGCTGAGGGCATTCCCAGTGTAGATGTTGGGATGGTCCAGGAGTTAGTTTCCTATGGTTTCGTGTGCGCTTTACCACCAAGAGCTTTCTCCCCTCAGGTTTGGTGCTCCTGAATCGATTATAACATCATACACAGCCCTTGAGTACTCACAGTCATGTCGAAGACGTGATCGATATGAGATGCGCCGTGGTCGAGCCATCGCCGGAATGCGCTGATACCCAAACAGGCAGGTTTATGCGGACCACCGGGCCCGGAACCCCGCATCGATCATCGCCCGCATAGACTTGCCATATCGCAATGAGTGGGGGAGATGAGATTCTTACCGGGAGACATACACTCTGGTCCAACGCAACCCCCGGATGCCGTGATATCTACAACGATCTGATTCGTGAGGGACGTTGAATAACATAATACAGCATATGAACATGAATACGAGACTGGGGAACTCTTCCTCTCGTGTCTGACATCAAAGGCAACCTCGCACATCTCCCCGCAGCGATCAATTACGCATCTAATTCAACGTTTTTATTTGCCCTTTTCTCATCGCCTTTATATCCGCCCAAGGAACTAGTCAAGCCTGAGCTCAAACCTGAGAATAACATAATACAATCCACTCGTCCGTCCGTATCAAACATGGACGAGAGAGCCCGCATCCCCGTTACTCTCCCAGTCCCGAACCCAACGCCCAGCTACTGGCACTCGCCACCCTCCCGTCTCTCAACCTACACCTCCAGCCCATCACCACCCTCAGAGACCGATACTTTGATCATAGGAAGTGGCATCACCGGCGCGGCCATAGCGCACTTCCTCCTCTCCTCAGACCATGCATCTGCTTCACCCCCAGATATCACCATGCTTGAGGCTCGCACCCTCACCTCTGGTGCGACGGGTCGCAACGGCGGCCACACAAAAGCCGCATCCTACCGGTCATTCCTTCATCACGCCGAGACACTTGGGACAGACGCAGCTTGCCTCATTGCCCGTCTCGAACTCGCAAACATCCGAGCCGTTCACGCCTTTGCCGCGTCACATCTCAAAGACAAGGAGACGGAGAGCAGACCCTGTCAGACGGTCGACGCGATATACGATGAGGCGCAGTGGGAAGCTGACAAGAAGGCCGTCGAAGCGATGAGGAAAGCCATGCCCGACGACGACGCGTCAAAGTACGAATTCTATGACGTCGAGGAGATGAAGACCCGGTTTCACGTTGCAAAGGAAGGGCTACATGGAGGCATCGGATACGAAGCCGGAAGCATCTCGGGATACCGCTTCACCACCGGCGTGCTGGAGTTATGCGTCGACAAAGGCATGAAGCTCTTCACAGAGACACCAGCACTGAGCGTCAAGAAAATCCAACAAGGTCTCTCCACGGACAACCCTCGCTGGGTAGTCGAGACACCAAAGGGGCAAATCAAGGCCCGCCGCGTCATACTAGCAACAAACGGCTACACGGCATTCCTCCACCCGCGCTTTCAAGAGGCCATCGTCCCGATGAGAGGCCAAATCACAGCCCACCGCCCGGGCTCCAACATGCCAAAGGCGGGCCTCGCGACAACCTACAGCTTCATCTACGAGGCCGGCTACGAGTACATGATCCCCAAACCGGCAGGCACGCAATTCGCCGGCGATATCGTCATTGGCGGCGGCCTGGTCCGCGCTCCCGACCAAGGGCTGGGCGAGTACGGTACGACGGATGACTCGCGGCTGAACCCCGTCATCAGCGCCTACCTACGCGAGACGACGCCGCGCTATTTCGGCGACGATTGGGGCGACGATGACCCCGAGGGCGAGGGCGGCGGCAGGGTGCGCGCCGAGTGGACGGGCATCATGGGCTTCAGCCCCGACGGGTTCCCATTCGTGGGAGAGGTGCCGGGCGAGGACGGACTGTGGGTTTGCGCGAGTTTTCAGGGACACGGTATGGTGTTTTGCTGGATGTGCGCGAGGGCGCTGGCGGTCATGCTCGAAGGAAGTGACGGCGGCGCGGCGGAGGAGGAGAAGAAGAACAACGGGGAGGAGGCGAAGGCGGAGGAGGCGGAGAAGCAGCTGGGCAGCTGGTTTCCCGACGCGTTTAGAATTACATCCGCACGCCTGGCGCAAAGATTTGCAGGGGGAGTGAATCACTCGACGGCTGGATCTGCTGATCGGACATAAAATAGAGACATAGAGACACGGAAAGGCATGGAAATATCGAGACTTGAGACTCGAGAGAGTCACTCGCAAACGCCCACCTGACGCGCGTAGCGGGCTGGCTTGACTTGGCTTCCTTGCTTTCTCGTTGCGGCTAGAATAGAGTTCGACCGCGCCAGTCCTGGCCGCTTAGCTTAACCATCCCCTCGGATTCTATCGTATGAGCACGTTCTGGCGGTCAAAGAATGAACAGGTATGCCAGGGAGGAGGAAAGGGGAAATGGCGTCTCGTGCGGCTTCCCACGGCCGTATGGAGGCAACTACGTACGAATAGGCAAACGATGTTGCTGTCTTGTTTGCTCTTGGCTCCCACGAGCCGGCGTCAGGGAAAACGATCACGAGGTGCATGGCCATACCTACCTACATGGCACACTATGGAATGGGTCATTACCAGACCATGTCTGGATAGAATACGGCTGTGACAGATTATCGTGGCGGTTTGTGGAGTTCCTCGTTCAGCCGGCCACGTTCCTATTCGGTGTTATCTCTTGTGTTGCAATGAACAAGTCAAGGATATCATTGCATCCAAAATATTCACTCACGCCAGGTTCCAAATCGCGCGCGTAATTGCGGCCGTTTAATGTCATCTGTACGTCGCACAATGCGCTGAACCAGCAAACATTTTGACGAAAACCCCACCTAGACGGCGGCACGCCTCCACAGCTCGGAATGGAGGCACTAGGTCATTACACTACGGATACGTACGAAGTAGGTCCCGCCATGTTCGTCCGTTTCTGCTTAAATGGAGTCATCCCAATCGAGCGGCACAAGCGGGAAGAATCTCGCCAGTGCGTTGGCACGGTACTGCTCGCCTCGGGATCGCTTGCAGGTGCAGGTCTAAGGGGGACCACTCGGTTGGAAACAATAACCCACTCGGGGAAAGGGGGGTCACGATAAATGTATGGATGTTGAGGGCAATGAGAGGCAGAGATCCCCGGGGGGCCAGACCCGAGAGGCAGAGCTGTGGCGTTCTTGGTGTGCCGTCCTGTTGGATAAAAGGACTGGACGGCACTTCAGCCATCGTTCGTTAGGTCTGCGGATAGTGAACCCTCCGTCCGGTTAATGTGGAAAGGGATGACAGGCAGCACAGCTTATGACGGGTAGCTGCTGTCTCAACGAACCATCCCCGAGAAACCAAGCCTCTGAGTGAGGTGCTTCTACCGGGAGAGCAGAGCCTAAGAAACGTGAATGCTCGCCTTGGGTCGATATCATGTGGAATACAGCGGGGGAGGCCAGCTTCGATCCAGAGAGCTGTCGGAGTGGAACGACTTGCAGAGAGCCACCGTACACACACATCGAATGTGACTCTGAGAAGCAGCCGTGGCCTCATTTCCTACTCGATGCGTACAGATACCAAGATGGCCGTGAGGAAACCCCGCTCGACCAAAGGTATTGAGGCAGGTGCTTAATGCGGTCCTGGGCATCGCGGGTGCGCAACTGCGCGCACTGCGCGGGCGCGGCAGCACGGAAAGACAAGAAGAACGACAGGGGTAACTTTGACAAACATTTTGCCGGCCGGCTTCCTTGCCCAGCACCAGATGCTGGTTCGACCCCAGCCAGCTAGGACCACAGCTGTACGAACGGATATGCGATCCACCGTTCTGGAGACCTTTGACAGGCTGCGAAACCCGAAGGATTCGAGCAGCCAAGCCGTCCGTTGACGAGAGAGCGAGAGGACTAAGAGAAACCAGCACACACACACACACACACACAACAATCTGCGGACAGCCTACAGGTAACCCGACAGAGGGGATAGTGGCCCGCAATTGCAGGCACAAGACACGGAACCACCCAATAGCCCTTCGATTGGGACCCCGTGCGCACACACACACGTCGCCAAATGCGGTGAGCGTCGCAGAGGTCTCCGTAGAAAGAGACGCAGTTTTTATGCGCCTCTGCTGCATGATGTCGGGGCCGGGCGTTGTTCCGCGCAAGAGCGAGGTCATATAGTGAGGCTTGGGAAAACCCAGCGTTGATCTTGTCTTGTCTGTCGTTTGAGTCATGTCTACATGTGCGCGCATACACGTAGGCTGAGCGCGCGTGTAGTTTGACGTGCGTTCGTCACAAGCATCACGGTGCCCCTTTTGTCATCATGCTGTGCTGCAACTGCTCATGTTCCGAGGATAACGAGGACCTGGCAGGATTTGTAAAGCTCGGGAGAGAGATCCCTCGGCCCAAAAACTCCATGGTAGTGCCCGATGATTCCGAAGATCTTCAATGCGCCAATTTGGGTTGATTTGCTAGTGGCGTTTTGGAACCTGTTCGAACAGCTAGGTTAAAGAGGTTGCAGGTCGGCTGAGCATGGAAACATGTATGTCCTTACGTATCTGTAAGCTCGTGCCAGACAGGTATGATGGCTGTGTCGTCGGGTCATCAAACTTTGTGGGATAAGCACGCCAAAGAGCCTATCTGGTAGTGAGATCGGGTGGCATGCGGTCAGACCAGAGTCGAATGCTTGCGCTTGCGCTTGTACGGCCGAAATATCATGTTGCCCTCATATGCTGTAACGTAACTGGTATCGTAATTGACGCGAGACCATTCCGATGGTTTCTAGTACGATAATGTTCAGTAATCGGTATCTAACCTTTGAGGCTGTCTAGCACGTATGGGTGTGAGACGGCGGCTGCGATGTTTGACCGCCTTAGTCGTGGCTACTAGCAGACAGCGCATTGCTAGGCCCGGTAGTGGTTCGCGATCGACAGTCAAAGTCTAGGCCAACAAGTAACGGCTTCAGATCGTCGCGTCCAAAGCTGTGGAACTTGCTCGGGACCCCGGCTCACGGGCGGTGACTAGCATGAAGTTCCCTCTCAGAAGACCCCTTGAACGAGCACATTTCGCCCTTTTGGATTCGAGGGGATGGGAGGGGGGCTGAGACTAAGCAGCTAAGGTAGCTTAGGCCTTTTGTTTCGCCTGAGATGGGATTGCAAAGAAATATGGCTTTGCAAATTACACATTGTCGACCACGTTTCGACATACCACGCTATGCTCTACGAATCAAGATCCGCGATGGCGACAAAAGATGAGTTGACACAATGGGGGCGCAACCTAGGGCCAAAGTAGCGCAACTGACTCTAATCCCCCTCCTGCGGGAGAGAGAGAGAAGCTTAGGTTGAGCCACGGACCAGCAGGCACAAGTCGAAAGCTGCGGACGCCCGGGACGCTAAGAGATCATATGAACCTCACAGTTGGATTAGAGCACCACAGCTTGCCATCCATCTCAGTACCGTCTGGTCCTGATTTGGTCTGGTTGTCTGGGTCATCTCATGATTTCTAGTCTCTTGTCCCATCCAGGGTGGATAAGAGAGTTGATCTGAAGCCGACGGTGTGAAGGCAAAATGAGAAATGAGCTGAGGGAGATCTGCGGTGGTCGTTATTTCCGGTGCTAAAAGACGACCGAACGCCCGTTCGCCCCGGGTGGTAGGTAGATGGAGATGGTCGGGTGGACGAGAAGACGGGACCGGAATAAGATGCCCTGGAGGGGGGAAAAAAAACAGGGACGAGTCGCAACTCGCGAGAGTCGCGGCGTTTGCCTTGGCGGCACCCAGACGTAACGGCGGCCAGCGGTCAAGCCCGGGACTTACAGTTACCTCAACTGCCATTGGGTCGACGCCAGATTAGACGAGACGAGACGATGTCGCCCTGTGTCGGTCGATGGACGGGATGTCGATGTGAGTAACAACAGATGGGAAAGGACGGGGTTGTTGTTGTTGGTCATGGGGGAGGGCTCCGTTTGGGATCCGGGAGGTCGCATCCGAACGTGGCATTCAACGGGTTGTAATAATGCAATGGAATGGCAATCGCTTGCATGGCGCGGGAAGTCACGACGTGTGATACCAAAACTACTTACATGGATGGATGGAATAGAGTAGTCACGGTCGCTTTCCGTACTCCGGTTTGTATCAGTAAAGAGAGAACTTGAATCATCAAGTATCAACTTGCTTCGGCCCTTGATGCAGTACGCTAGACGTAGAAAGGGAACAGGATTGGACTATTGGAGAAACGAACACTCGCCTGAAAGACTAGAACGATGCAACTGCCGACTGCCGGGTGACGAGCGGCGTAGAGGCAAGCGATCTTCGCTGCAAAGGAAGGACTTTCGGTTGGAAAGAAACACAATCGAAGCCCCTCCACAGACCTTGTCGCTTACCAACGCAGGCCTAGGAGTCCTAACGAATGCATGAAGTCACTGAGTTATTGAACCCAGAATGTAAATACCAAGTAGTTTGTAAGGTCTCTAATTTCACAATAAACTACGATTGACCACAATTAATGCTGAGCAAGTCTTTGAGCGATAAATCAGCCCCTCTCGTAAACGTCAACATCTCCCAGCCAGTGAATACGGAATACATGCGGATCCGACAGACTCGGAGAGAGTGACCTCGATGGGCCGGCCCCCCTTCTCCCAAGAAAAGCTTCCTCCCGAGTCCCGGCGCAGCGTGCCATTCCTCTGGGAACATCCACAATGATGGCTGGGGCCCCTAGCTGCCCTGTTGTCCACTGAAGGCATGCAGACAAAATGCTCTGTATTCGTAGAGTTGCAGCGCTTTATCCGTCTCATATCCCTTTCCCTCTGGGGGGGGTATCTAGCAGGACTAGCCGTGGGCAAAGGGGGAAGGGGAAAAGAGGATCCAAGGGACAGGGAGTGGAAGGGGTATCGGGTTACCAGACTGTGACATTTCATCCATGAGAGAGAAATATAGAAAACAGTGAGAAAGCAGCAGATCCAAGTACTGTCCATGTACCTGTCTACTCTCTTCTCGACCTCGGCATGCCCTCTTTGAGTATCCCACCAAAACCCATTCGATTTCTCGACCCTCCCTGTACCGCCAAGAAGGACAATCTGGGTCTCAGCCCCCACAGAAGGGACAAGTTCAAATCCCGAAATCTAAAGTCCCACTCTTTCTTTGGGTTGTGTGTTCTTCCGGCGCTCACTGCGCACCTGATGTAGTCTCCGTACCTCCGTAT